TTGAGCTCCACCGCCTCCTCTCTCAATGGCTCAACTAGGCTCTGCATCGCCTGCAACACCTCTGACATCCTCTCTATTGGCGTCAATGGCGCACTTCACCATTCCGGCTGTGTTAAAGTCCCTAATGATGAATATGAAACTTATTGTCAACCTCCAACTTACCAATGAGAACTATGCCATTTGGAGCTTGCAAGTGAATAAGCTCTTTGCTGCAAACAGGTTTGACGGCTACCTCATCGGAAGACTGACTCGTCCCAGTGGACCTACAGATCCTAAACTAAAACTCTGGCTTCTAGTTTATCAGAACCTGGTAGCCACTCTTCTCTCAACGATTTCACCTTTAGTTCTTCCTTATGTCCTCCATCTCTCAACCTCCGCAGAGATTTGGAACACCCTGGCCAGCCGTCAGCAACCGACCAATAGGTCGAGAGTCATACAACTCAAAAACAAACTGCATAGCATTTAGATGTATGATTCAACAATGACACTATACCTCTCTCACATAAAACAGCTGGTTGACAACATTATTTCAGCAAGGTTGTAAGTCGACACAAAGGATATAATATTGTACATTCTCAATGGTCTGTCATCCGATTACAACTCTTTCAAGACATCAATCCACACAACACAGCTACCCATCAGCCTATACACTTTATATTTGCTTCTCTGTAGCAAAGAGATTCATGTCAACAACGAGCTTCAATGAGACATTCCTCAAGCCATTGTTTAAAATTGCGCAATAGGAGGCTCGCCTTGAGGCCCTCCGCAGCACAATTCTATTGAAAATCGCCTTAAGGCGTAAGGCTTACGCCTTTCACTTTTTTATAAGGCTTGCGCCTTAACTTGGCTAAGGCCCGCCTTGAGGCATGCCTCGCCTCGCTAGCGTGAGGCTTACGCCTCACCCTTTTATTATACTTTTTTTTTATTAAAACTAACATAAATCATGCAATTTATTATGCAACAACTCAGATAAAGACCACCTCAATAATGACAGTGCAAATAATTCCTAAGTTTTTGCCAACTATTTCAACTTTCATTAAGAATTAAATGTCAATGAGTAGAGAATTGAGAAAAAAGAAAAATAGGAGTTGAATTTGATGTTATATAATACTTATGCAATTTCTATATTTAATATTATTTTACTTTTATAATATTTGTATTTTAATTCAACTTCACGCAATTTATTATTTGTCACTTGTGATCTTGTGCAATTTTTTGTTTCATATGTATATCAATTTGTTAATTCATAATTCAATAGGAAGTTAATATGTCATTATTTAACATATTATTTAGGTATTATATAAAAACTCACTTTTAACATTTATTATCAAATTACGCTTTTTTTTTTAAGCTTACGTCTCAAAACGCCTTGAGGCTTATGCCTCGCCTCATGAACAAAAAACGCCTCAATACCCAATTGCACAATTTTAAACATTGCCTCTAGCTACTAAAATATGGCTTTCTATTCAAGAAGAGGGAGATACAATCGGAACAGGGCCAATATTCGTGGATGCACCTTCTCTTCCATACCGCAATCCAACAACAACCATCCTCAATCCTATTTGGAAAACGCTCTCCCAGTTTGCGAAATCTACGGCAAGACTGATCATATAGTTCTCAACTATTAGCACGGGTGTAATATGAACTACTACTCCTTATAGGGTCCTTCTCGAGCCCTTTTCTCCCAAACACAAAGCCACACTACAACTAAATGGACTCTGGACTCAGGAGCCTCAAGCCATCTTACCTCGAACTCAAAATATTTTCACTAGCCCATTACATCTGCTAGGATAGACTCTGTTTCCATCGCAAATGGGAGTTCTCTACCAATCCAGCATCAAGTTCAAGGAATTCTACCCCTTCCGAACACGCCTCGTAAGCTTTTTCTTCAAAATCTACTCCATGTTCCATCTTTATCTCACAACTTGCTCTCCGTTCATTAACTCACCCAGGACAATAACTGTTCTATTTCCTTTGATGCTAACGGATTTCTCATCCAGGATCTTGCGGACAATCAAATCCTTCTCCATGGTTGAACTCATGATGGGCTATATTCCATCTCCATCGCCAACTAACGTATCTCTCTTACTGCCCCACATTCCACCACAACTGCGACAAGCTCTCTCTGGCACAGCCTCCTCGATCATCCTCACCATCAAGTCATGGAAACCTTAGCTAAATTAGTTCCATATATATGTACTTCTCCTAGTTATATGTTACGTCAGTCTTGTAATGTGGCCAATAGCCACAAACTACCATTTCAACTAGAATCTACAAATGTTACCACTCCCTTCTCCCTCATTCACACTGATGTTTGGGGGCCATATATCATTTCTTAAATTGTATATCATTATTATGTTACATTTATAAATGTTTATTCTCGTTTCTGCTGGATTTATCTTCACTCCGACGGTGGCGATTAATTCACTAGCAATAACTTCACCAACTATCTTCTTCAACATGGCATTATGCATCAACGCAGCTGTCCATACACCCCTATACAAAAAAGAAAACCTGAATGCAAACATTGGCACCGATTAGACATCATTAGAGCTCTACTTCATACAGCTAATCTTCCACCCACCTTATGGGCCAAGGCACTCCTTATGGCTAACCATCTCATAAATCGCCTTCCCACCAAAGCCTACCACCTTCAAATTACATACAATCTTCTTCATGGCACCTTACCCACCTATGAACTTCTTAAACATTCGATTGTCTCTATTTCCCATGGCTTCAACCTCTTACCACCAATAAACTTCAACCTTGATCTCAAGAATGCATCTTTCTCGGCTATTCCCCTTCACATAAAGACTATCGTTGTTATAATCTTCATTCCAAAAACATTCACATCTCTCACCATGTAGTCTTTTATGAACAACTGTTTCCCTACTCTACCTCAACACCATCAGTCACTCTCCCTCCACCCAAAATCCATTCTTCACCTCTGATGCTCATTCCAACATCCACCATATCCCCAACTACTCCTCCCTCCACTCTAAATACCACCAATATTACTTTACCATCACCCACACAGTCTTCATCCATTAATTCCAATAATTCAACTCCCTCCTCCCCATCCTTCCCACACCGTCTCACGTCTCTCTACCACCTCCAATTCACCCAATGCAGACTCGTCTAAAGACAGGTCATCTCAAACCCAAAGTCGTATTTGACTTGTCCATCACTCCAACCTCCAACACAACTCCCACCACCTATAAGAAAATTGTCCAATTTCTTCATTGGTGCACAACCATGTTGAACGAATTCCCTGCTCTTCAAAAACAAGCCACCTGGACCTTCACTCTGCCACCTCCCAACACTCCCATTTTAGGCTGCAGGTGGACTTTCAAAACCAAGCTCAACTCCGATGGATAGGTTGCCACTTACAAAGCTCGCTTGGTTGCTAAAGGGTTCGTTCAAGAATATGACATTAACTACAAAGAAACCTTTAGTCTGATCGCAAATATACCAACTATTCACATTCTTCTTCTCATAGCTCTCAACAACAATTGGCCAGTGCAACAATTTAATATCTTGAATGCCTTCCTCCATGGGGATCTACCTGACAAAGTATACAAGCACCAACCCAAAGGTTTCATAGATTCACAATTTTCAAATTATGTTTGCACACTACATAAATCCACTTACGGGCTCAAATAAGCTCCACATCAATGGTTCACCAAACTGATGTCATCACTCAAAGCCATTGGATTTACATTTCAGCAAATCCGACACATCTCTATTGATCAATCACAATAATGGCATTCGACTATACTTCCTCATCTACGTGGATGACTTGCTCCTAACAGGCAATGACAACAACACCATGCATCAGCTCCTTGTTAAACTGCAAAATGAATTTTCTCTCAAAGCCCATGGCTTGATCTCCACATTCCTTAGCATTCAAGTCCAAAAGACCAAATGTGGACTTGTACTTCATCAAGCATCGTACACTCACAAGCTATTCAAACTAGCAGGCTTCACAAGCTGTAAACTGGCATCCACTCCAATGGCTCTCAAGTTTTATCGCAGCCCAGATACAAATCAGCTCTTCTCCAACCCTTCCTTCTATAGGAAACTAGCCGATGTGCTTATGTATCTCACAATTACAAGGCCCGACATAGCATTCGCCACCAGCAACATCTGTCAATCCATGCACAATCCCTCCAATCAGAATTTTCGATCTCTCAAACGACTTCTAAGATACATACAAGGCACACAAACCTTCAGCCTACCCTTCAGATTGGGTGATCTACAGCTTCACACCTACGGCGATGGTAATTAGGCAGCCGACAAGTCAGATCGCAAGTCCATTACATGCATTTGTTCCTTTCTCGGACCAAATGTAATCTCCTGGCAAGTCAAGAAGCAACTAACAATAGCCAAATCCTGAACCAAGATAGAATACAACGCTCTCTCAGCAGCCACCTCTGATGTTATCTGGCTTTGCCGACTTCTACAAGAGTTTCGGGTTGCCCAGCTCCATCCGACTCCCATTGACTGTGACAACACACCTCGGCGATTGCCTTAGCCCACAATCATGTCTTCCATGCGAGAACCAAACACATTGAGTTTGACTATCACTTCATCAGTGATCATATTCACTCGAAGGCTATCAACATTCTACATATCAACTCTCTAGATCAGACGACCAACATCTTGCCGAAATCGCTTCCTCCGCTTCACTTCCAGTAACTGAGAGCCAAATTAACCATCCAGGAACGGGATGCTGAATTTGAGGGGGGCTATTAGAGCACCTGAATAGAACGTTCTCCTTTATGATCCCCTTTCGCAGACCATCTGCTCCAGCCGCCTCCAAGCGCAGTGAACTCCGCCTTCTTCCAACGGTCCTGCCATTTAGATCAGCTGCATACGTCTAACCAGTTACATCTATCTTCTACTTTCTGTATAAACATGTAACTCTTCATCTATTAAAAAAAAATGTAACACTTCATCTACTGTTTATCAATGAGATGAATCTTCTACAGTAAAAAATCTCAAGCAGCACTTCACTCTTCTGTTATTACTCTTCACTAATAAACATCATTGGAAATAAGCAGTTAAGACATACTACAAAATCAAAAAATTTCAACATAATTCTTCTCTCAATGACGCACAAGCGATCTAGAAAGATTTACAATGAAAGGTTCAAAAACCTCGTAGTGAATTAAACACTAAGATAATAAGCAAGTTCTGTTTCAAACAAATACTTGAACCTTAATCAAAAACCTTAAACGCAGTTTTCGTTACACATGATCAACTGAAGAAAGAGAGGAGCTGGTGCTGTCGCCCAAACAACGGATCACCTCCTCCCTGCACCTTACCAATCTATGGAAAACCTCCCTCACCTTCCTTTCAAAAGGCCCCAATCCTTCATCAAGCTTTCCGCTTGAAATGGCCAGCTCAGCGGCAGCCGCTTCCAATTCCTCTCCATTGCTCGCCAGCTTCAACAACTCCCTGCTAATTCTCTCCAACGCCAGAGTCTCCTCTAGCATCCCTGCCGAAACTAGTAAGCCACCCACTTTTCTCTCCCTCCTCATGTCCTCCCCAATTTTCTCATGCAGGCGAGACAAAGCCAAAGCCCAGGGCATATGTCTTGTCGCAGTTGGAATCGGCGGTGGTGGCTGAACCTCCCCGCTGCCACAGGGAAACGAAGCTACCATCATCCACATGGAGAAGTGAAGTAGAGTGCTTATGGTGTGAACCGCGAGCGCGAGCACGGAAGAACTGCCTGATTCGCCACTTCGCGGGGTACTGAGGCCAGCCGCCACCGCCTGGAGGTGTTTCTTTGCGGAGCAGATTCGGCACATCCGACGGCACGATGAGGAAGAAGCGCTCAGGCCGGTGCTGGTCGAGAGGAGGAGCTTCGAGAGGGCTCTTCGGGCGCGGTTGATTTGTGGGGGGGTAAAGGGGGGACCCGGACGGTGGAGAGCGGATGCAGCGATGTCGGCATGGCGACTCCAGTGGCGGAGGGAGTGGAGTGAGAGGGAGACAGCGTTGCAGAGGTCGAGGGATTTCACGGCTCGGTCAAGGAAATCGGAGATGGCGCGGTCCAGAGGGGGGCGGGAGATAAGGCTAGGGTTTCGGGAGAGGATGAGGAGGAGAAGAGATTTAAAGTCCGATTCGCATGCAAGGAGGGCATCGAGGAGTTTGTGGAGGAAGGCGAGAGAGAGGGTGAGGGAAAGTGAGGGCGTTTTGGAATCGGGGGAGGGGAGGAGGGATTGGAGGGAATCGGTGAGACGGGTATGGAGGAGATCGAGGAGATGGAGCTCCTCCTCGCTAGAGGGTTCCAGGGAGGCAACTTGATGGCGGCGGAGGCTCATGGCGGAGAAGCCGCGGAAGGACATGGAGGTCGTCGCCGACGGCGAGCTGGTACTGTCCCCCGCTGTTGCACGCATCACCACCGAGATATAGATGGATGTATTGGTATGGAGCGCCGTCGAGAGATTGAATGATTGGGTTAACGGGAGGACGAATTTGGGATGGTGTTAAATAGGCTAGCGTGATTAAATTAGATGGAGAGAAGACCCGTTCCTGTACTTTTACTGTGGAAGCCGACTTGGTTGGCCGTTCCCGTATGGGGTACGCCTTACTCGCTGCACTACGCGAAAAGGGTGAAATTATTATATGAAGAGTCCGGCTGAATTTTCCAACTCCAACGAAAAAGCATCATATCATTTTTATATAGCCGGTATATTATACATATACTGTATGTAGAAGATTGCACACAGATTATGTATGGAAGACATGATATGTTTTAATTTGAGTCGGGATATAAGTTGCATCCAAATTTCACACGTAATAATTTCTCATGAAAAGTAACTGTGTTTGAGAGAATATTGTGATATTTGAGTGGCGGGAATCATCCATGGACAATTTAGGAGAATTGATAATATAAATATCCTCAAAATATTATTATTTTTAAATAGCATGAAAATAAATATTGTCTGATAAACTTCAGAACTATTGCTCTACCAAGGTTTTGAGCAAACCTTAGCTCCCCACCACCTCGATATCTTTCTGCCTTCTAGCCTCCCACCATGAGAAAGGGAGGGGGAATTCCCTTTTCTCTCTTCCATTATTGAGCTCATGAATACCTCCTCTCCCATGGATTTTCCACCTCTTACTAGCATCCTCCTCTAAAACCCATATATCTCCCAACTAGAAACACTTGTTCTCAACTTAAAAACTAGTGTCAAAGGACTTTCCTTTGACCTTTATCCCACTTGAACACAATGTTATACAATTCTCTAACAAAGAAATCTTTAAGAAATCTAAGGAATGGTGATTATCTCTCGTAGGCTACTCCATTGATATGTTATGCGTTTTGTAAGTTAAGATCCACTATTATGCTAATCATAATCCATGGTTCTCTTCCTATCACAATGTTTTTCAAAATGAAGGAAATTTTAATAATTTCACTCAATCCTCTTCTACAAAAATATGTCTTGACTGGAATTCATCTAATGTTTCCTTCATCCCCTCTTTCAATACAAATTAGCTTATTTATGGTGCCCTTCATATGGGTTTTAAGCTCTCATGTCAGCTAACCGTGGTTATGCTTCTAATTCTTACAAGGAGAGAGGCTTGCTTTTGTAGCAAATCATGAACACTATTGGGATTATTTCTATGCCATGGACCATTGTTGGAGATTTCAACTATTACAGATTTAGCCATGAATATTCTAATAAGAATATTATACATAATAACAAGCTTTGAGAATTTGATAACCTTATTTCAATATTAGTGCTCAAGGCATTGCCTCTATTGGTCTTTATTTTTCTTGGTATAATTTGAAAGTGGATAATATAATTCATATCAAGTTGGATTGAGTATTTGTGAACAACTACTAGTTGGAGACCTGCCTTCCACTTTTTTACAAATTTAAAACCAAGATGCTCTTATCACTGTTAACTCTAGTGAATAGGTTGTTAAACATAAGTTAATGTCCCAATGCTACCAAGAGGGGGGGGGGGGCCACAACTTTTTAAACAAAAAAATGCAGAAAATAAAAAGTAGTAAAAATAAACGACACAAGATTTATAGTGGTTCGGTCTAAACCAGACCTACATCCACTCCCAGAGGCACCCTCTGAGTATTGCACTAATACCAATAGTGTCTCTCCTTTTGCACCCACAGCAAGGCGGAGAAGCCTTTACAAACACTCTTTCCACCACTACTCGGTGCGACAGAGAATCGTCGTCCTTTTACACTATCCCTAGTGTTGGCAGAGAACCGTCTGTCCTTTCACACTCTCCTAGTGTGGGCAGAGAACCCTTCATCCTTTCACACTCTCCTAGTGTGGGCAGAGAACCCGATCTCCTTGACAAATCTCCTCACAAAAAATTTAGAAGGAAGAAAAAAAAGAGTGAAGTAATCTCAAATCACAAGTAGGAAATCTTACCTTTGAACATCAAGCGAAGAATTCACGCTCCAGTTGTAGGAATCCTCCTTTGAATGCTCTCTCACACTCTCTCCTTTACTATTCTTCTAATAAGCACGAAGATCAATGAGCAAAAAGATTTGGTGGCAGTAAAAATTGGACATTATATAGGAGAGACAAGAAAAAACCGTCAAAAACTGCAAAATTTTCAAGTTATCACGAAATGGATCATCCCGTACGATCGTGGATCGTCCCGGATGTTTTTACTTAAAGTGTCGGAAACTATCCTGATGTATATTGGTATGAACTATGTTCGTACACGCTTATCGTCCCGTACGAACTAGGTTCGTCCAGTACGAAACGGTTATTGCATAGGTCGGTTCCCAAATCCTTGCAGGACGTAACCAACTGAGGTAAGTCGGTTCAGTTCGTCCTGGGACGAACAAGTTTCATCCTGGATGATTGTATACAGAGAGTTTCGTCTCGAGATGAAGGTTAATTTCGTCCTGTATGATTTTATATAGAGAGTTTCGTCTAGAGATGAACCATGCATTTCGTCTGGACGAACAGTGCAAAGTGAGAATCCTGAGACATTTGTCCCGGGACGAATATTAAATTCATCCTAGACGATTAGGACTTAGAAAAATTTTCTCCCTGCCTGTTCGATCCATTGCTCTTCCGAGGGCTTAATTGACATGATCGTCCTGTATGATCAGTTCACAAAAATTGTTCCCCCAAGTGTGTGTGTTGCGATTTTTCACTCAATTACAATCACTCCCTCTCAATTCAAAACTTATAATTTACAAATGAATATTTGCTAAATTTGATTTGAAGTCTTCATAGCTTGGAGTTGATTTTCCTGAAATGTTAGTACACACTAGAGCAAAAACAAATCTTCCAAAAAGTGTTAGGAGATATATATACATAAAACAATAATATTTGAAATCATCAAAATAATATAAGTTGCAAGAATGTAAAACATGCAAATAGCAACTCTCTTAACAATCTCCCCCTTTTTGATGATGGCAAAATAATTATTATTTGTAGGATGTCAAATTCTAAGAATCTCCTAAACTCCTCTGAATTGATGAATACATGAAAAATAAGGAGGCCTAAATTTATTCAAAATTTTTATTTTTCAAAAAATTTTATACAAAACAAGAAACATACAACTACAATAATGTCAAACATAACAAACAAACAATTTATCCCCGTTTTTAACAACAGCAAAAAGAGAAAAAAGGTTTCGAAATGTAAGCATAAGTATGAAATTCATTTGATAATTTAATCTTGAAAGTGGTATGCAAATAAAATTAAAAACATTAGAAAAATCATAGAATTTCATATAATTGAAGAAGTGATATAACATAGATAATGAAAAGAATTTATCAAAGACATGAGTCAATTTAAACATTAAGATAAAGAAAATCATTGCACTAAGGATGAATAAAAAATTTTATACTTCAGATTTTAATGTCAATTATAAATGAACATAAGATCAATTTGAATTAAGAGATTAAAAGAGTTCGGATAGAACTACCACATGTGGCGCTTAACGTATCTTTTTTAATTTTATGGCACATTTTTGTGCATCTTTTTCAATTTTATGGCACATTTATGTGCATCTTTTTACTTTGCTTATTTTGTACCTCTTTTTTTATTGTAAACTTTTGTGCAATACTTTTGATTTTTGTACATTTGTATAATTTTCAAGAGTAATTGAATTCTTTCCAAAATCAATAATCTAAAATTTCAAATTTTTCTAAGTACATAAATACTATTTGAAAAGAGAAATACAAAATAAGAAAATATCTAAATTGTAATAATAATATTAAAGATAATGTAGTCTAAATAAGAGACATGAAATTGAAAATTCTAATAATATCAAGTTATAAGAATCACTTAAATTTAGAATAATTTGATTTTCTAATGAAATTAATTTTAATTTACAATTTAGGTTAAAGCACTATTAAGATTAAAAAATAATGAATGTCAAAAAGTCTAACACACATTTCTAAAATAATTAAACAACAAAACATTGGAACATATATTGATATCGAATGAAGATTTTACAAATTTAAGTTTAAGATATCAATAAAAACACAACTAAAATAAGGAAAATACAAAAATCTAAAAGAAATCACTAAACACATAAACCACATAAACACATAAGAAACAAATAAACTATAAAGAAACACAGAACTAACACAACAATCATTCATATGGACCGTGATCTGGAGGAGGAGGTGGTGGTGTTGCACCAAAGAAGTTGAAGTAACTACTCATCATAAGCATGTTGGTATTTATGTTATCTATCTGATCACGCATAAATCCCATATCTTGATTGTACTAAATATCCTGCTGCTGCAAATGAGTTTCAATTTGATCAAACCTTTGATCAAAATGAGCCTCTAAATTGTCAAATCTTTGAACCAAATTTTGATAATTTGGTTCAGTAGCAGATGTAGGTTCAGCTTCTTCTTCTGTTTCACTTAGAATAACATGAGTTTTTCTAGGCTCTTCCTTATTGAAGATAGCTCTAAAGGATGCATCGTTGTAGTAGAGTTGCTCTTCAAAATTTTGTTCTGGATGAATCAAGTTATACTTCTTTTCCAAAATATAGGCAATCAGATGTCCTAAGGCAATGTTCTTCTTTCTTTTATGATCAACATGACTAATTTCAGAAAGGCCATAAATGTTGTCAATTAGGAGTTGAGCCTCATCTATAGGTTTTCTGGTCATTATCAAGAAGGTAACAACAGAAAGAAGAAGTGTGATATTGACTCTATCACCAGCTTTAGGTATAATGGAAGTTCTAAGTACATGCTGGATGATACGGGCATCACGAACTAATGTTTCTACTTTAGGCAAATGATCCTTAACTTTTATTCCTTTAATCACATGATTAACTTTAGTTCAATCAAAATTTTTGGTGGTTAAGGTGTGTGCTTTTAATCCTTCAGTCCTTAAGTTTAGGAAGATACCAAGGTCAGCCTTAGTGATTTCAACTTTATTTTTAAAAACAAAGGAACTGATGATAGAATGGTCGGAGTTGAAAGACATGTTTGCCAAAAAATAATGAAAGGTTTCTTTGTTGTATAAGTGTACTAAGGTGAGGATTAAGCCAAATTGAGTACAGGTAAACAAGTGCATTACCTTAAAAGTTAATTCTTCCTATAGGAGTACTCTAGATGGGGTAATTTTT